CGGTGGGCGCATGTGAACGCAGCCACTGGGGCCTTCGGTGGAGCTCCCTGTGGGGCCACGAAACGTGTGAGGGGTGCGCCGAAATGGGTGCGGTGGGCGCATGCGAACGCAGCCACGGGGGCCTTCGGTGGAGCTCCCTATGGGGCCACGAAACGTGTGAGGGGTGTGCCAGAATGGGTGTGGGAGGGGGAGGAGGGGGGAGGAGGGAGGGAGGAAGGAGGCGGGAACGCGGGGCACCGTCTCTTCAAAACGAGGACCCAACACCACAGGATGGTTGGGAAAAAAGCCCCCGATAGAGGGCCCAAAGGGCCCAAAGACGCCCCAAGAGGACCCCAAGACGGCACAAGAGGCCCGAAAAGGCCCAAGGGACACCCAAGATGGCCCCAAGAGGGGCCCGAGAGGGGGAACACGAACTGATATTCCGAGCCTTCCAGCCCAAGATGTCCCCAAGACCCCCCAGAAGCTCCAGAGGCCCTCCCAAGACGCCCCAAGAGGACCCCCAGAGGCCCCAAGACGCCCTAGGAGGCCCCCGAGAGGCGCCCTCAGAGGTCCCCCCAGAAGCCCCCAAGACCCTTCTGAGAGTCCGCCGAGAGGCGGACCAAGAGACCCTCATACGCGTCGCCTCTGAACCACGGCCTAGGCACAGTGGCGGGATGGGCCGAAGGTCAGTGGATATATCCTCGTCAACGCACCACCAAACGTGACAGTAGGACGTGCCAGGAGCTTCGCCGGAAACTTCCTCACACTTGAACGCTACTATCCTACATCTTGACATGTCTGATAGCGGCACGGCTCGTGCAGGGTCGTCTTTCAAGGGGACGCTTCCCATAAGGAAGGAAGCTCTCGTAGGGAATGAGGACTCTTGGAGAAGGAGGCTTGGAACGGGAAGGTGTGTAGCACCATCGCTGAATCGTTGACGTATGGCAGGTAGCATGTGGTGATCCTGCTCCTCCGCCCATCGTATTCCATCTCTCCCCTCCCCTCCTGGGATGCGTCGCTCGAGGGCGACCCTGTTCCCGCGGCGCTGGTAGTGCTGACAGTCGAAGCGTTGACTATCGACCTAAGAGGAGGGAGGAGGAGGAGGAGGAGGAGGAGGAGGAGGAGGAGGCGGAGGCGGAGGAGGAGGAGGAGGACCAAAGTAAGCACAAAATGCATCAACGATGCTGCAAACCACCCTCCCGCCCAAGCCCCCTCCTCACGAGTCCGTGCGAGCCTTCTTCAAGCACCCCCTTGAGAGACTTGCACCCCCACGGGCCTGCAGTTCAGGCGCGGGCCACGGCTCGAAAGGGGAACAGCACTGCACCCCACTAGCGGATAGTAGGGACTGCGAGTCGGTATGACCGCACAGTTCGACGCGGTGTCCAGCGATGGACCCCGTGTTGAGAAGGACCGCCCAACACCCAAAATACGGTCGGGGCGTTGACCTAAGGAACCCTAAATAAGGAACGAAGCCCCTTTTGTTCATAAGTTACCCTTCGATTTGCCACCAAAAACTCCAGGAACACATTGGGCAAGGTGTGGAACAATTAAGAACACCGAGCCCCTCCCCAACGAAAAGGGTTCCTTCTTCAGGGCCCCGACTGTACGGCAAAAACTCTGCACGTCTGGCCACACGCTTCGAGGACAGCCCAAACGAGAGACCCACTTCGGCAAGGCGCCACCCTCCATCCGCGCAGCTGCTACATGCGCTCAATGCTGGTTTTGAAAGGTCAAAGAGGCGATCAAGCCAAATTACGTCGAAAAAACAGCCCTCCGTCCTTGAAGCTCTTGCAAGCTTGTAAGACAAATGCGGGCAGCGCTTGGGTGAAGGCATCAGTTCGACAAGGAACCGCCCTCTAGTCCTGAACTGTTAGCGAACTTTTAAAACGACTCTGCGCGACGCTCAGGCGAGAACCTCGTTTTGACCCCTTACCCCATCCATCCTTGAAGCTGTTTCAAGACTTGTAGGACAAATGCGCGTGGCGACTAGACGAGAGCCTCGTTTCGAAAACGAACCCCCGACCGCCCATGAAACTGCTGTGAACTTGTAAGACGAATGAGCGCGGCGCTAAGGCGAGAACCCCATCTTGAAAACGATCCCCCTCCACCCGTGTAGCTGCTGCGAATGGCAAATTCCAGAATCATAAATGGTGAGGAAGTCTGTGGTGAAACGCCCGGTCCGCCCTGCCGATACGTCTGGGGGTGCGACTGGGAGGATTCGAGGAGAGAAGAAAAAAAGAGAAGAAGGGGGAGATGCATGAGGAGGGTTTTTGTCTTCGGCCATGGGTTGGAGACAAGCGCCAACTCCCGAACACTCATCACAGCGACGAGTGGGATCGAACTGAAGGGGCCCCGGGACACACAAATGAATACACACAAAAATATAGCAATTTCTCATATTCCTCCATAGTCTGGGGGGCTTTCGTCTTCCCCCCCTCCCAGTTCCCCTATTCTCCTAGACCTTCTGGGGAATCGACGACTGGTTGTGCCTGTGTGTTGTTTCCCCTCCTGCACGACCGAGGGGCCCACAACGACACGACGGCGGGGCCGAGGGCACCCCGCGGCGGAGGCACGGCGGCCGAGGCCCGCGGCACCGCAGGGGACGGAGCCGAGGACCCGAGCCCTGGACGCCGACTGACTACCTACCAGACCACCCCAACCCGACCCGAAGACCCCAATCTCGGGTTGGGGGGGGGGAAGGGTTCCACACGTGTCTTCTCGACGTCGCCCGACCCCCCCCCCCACTGGAAGTCGAGGGTAGATCTGAGCCTTCGGGTTGCGTTGGGGTGGCCTGGTGGCTGGTGACCCCGACGCCTCTCCCAGCCCCGCACGGAAGGCCGCACGGGAGCGCGGCTCCTGGGCGTCTGCCGGATCCTGGCGTACACCCTGCGAAATGCTTAAGAAATCATGGGTTAAGAAATTCATAGTCTCAGAATTTGAAGAAAAACCTAAAATTTCTATCAAAATCTTGGGATTTACATTGAAACGTTAAGAATAATCGAGACTCTGGCCGAAAACTTAGGTTTTCTTAAGCATCGCATAAGGCGTAGACATGTTGCGTTGCCTCCACGGGGAAAGGCGGGGGACGGCGGGAGGACCGAGGCCCGCGGCCCCGCAGGGGGGCGGAGCTGCTGAGGAGCCGAGCCCTGGGCGCCGGCGCCTCTCCCGGCCCCGCACGGAGAGCCGCACGGGAGCGCGGCTCCTGGGCGTCTGCGGGATCCTGGCGTAGACATGTTGCGTCGCCTCCGCGGGGGAAAGGCGGGGGACAGCGGTATACACCACACCCCACTCCGACGGCGTCCCCGGCCCCGTGAGGGTCGTGAAGGACTATTTTGGAGGCGAAGGTGGTTGTCACGAGCAATTGCTTGCTGGACCTCCTGATCCAGGGCCTCGATCTGTTCCTTGTGTTCACTCTCGCCCAGAATGTGATGACCCTGAACGTCCCCGTGTGATCAGTGCGACATGGTGGATTGCACGCCAGGCGGTTGCGAATGCCTGGCATGTCGAAGCTAAACTTGGCCCTTTTCGATTTCCAGCGAAGTGCCATCGTCCTCCTGATTAGAACGTTGTAGGTCTCGGTCGCCGCAAGAGTAAACGAGCAAGTTGAACCCGTGCACGGGTGTGTAGTCTTGTAGCTGCATTGTGTGCGGGGGAGGCTTGCGCTTTGGGGGCTTGTGATGAGGATGAGGAGCTACGACGGTAATTTGCACTGCCTGAATTGTCAGAGCTCCTGCGGTGCTTTACACTGCCCGTGATCTCAGCTTGCCAGCTTGGTGCCGATTCTTGTTTGTGTGTTTTCGGAAACTGGAACATGTACATTACCAGTGGCGGCCTCTTTTCCAGTCCCAGAACTTTTTCGAGCAGGCAGAGGTGCGTCTGCATCAGGAACATCCCGAGGACCACGGGGTTCAAAAAGGAGGCCCTGGATCAGGAGGCCCAGCCCGCCGATGCTCCTCACAACCCACTTCGCCGCCGAGAGGTGCTCCACACATTCTTCACCGCCAGGGCGCCCGCCAACAGGGAGAACCTCGTCGGCAACAGGAAGGTCACGAGACCACTCGTCACCGGGGCGCCCCCGACGCCGAGGAGAAGCTTAAAATCTTCGTCGGGCCGGACGCCCGCCTCGAACGGAGCCGGGACGCCCGTGACGACGACGGGAGCCGCAGGCGCGGCGAAGGCCCGACGTCTCGAGGGGGAGCGCGCACGAGGCCAGTCGTCACCGGGGCGCCCCCGACGCCGAGGAGACGGCGAGCTTCGTCGGGCGGGGCGCCCGCCCCGAAGGGAGCTGGGACGCCCGTGGAGGCGGGAGGAGCCGCGGGCGCGGCCAAGGCCCGACGTCTCGGCGGGAGCGAGCACGTCCCCGCCCCGTTGCGCGGCTGGAGCCAGGGCTGGGCCAAAACGTTTTCGCTTCCGCCTTAATCTGTTTTGGTTTTGTGTCTTGTTTCTTATGCTGTCCCTGGCTTGCTTGCTTTCGTCTTGTCTTGCTTTCGGTCTGTTTTGTTTGTGTTCGTGCTGTGCTGCTTGCTTTGCTTCGGAACCCGTGCTCCGTGCTCGCTGTGCTCGCGGTGCCCCTCGCTGTCGTCCCCGCTCCGCCCCCGCCGCAGAGCACGAGGCCGAAGCGAGCACGGCCCACGAGATCACCAACAAAAACACCGCTGAGGTCCGGGCCCGGCTGGAGCCGTGCGCCAGCAAGCTCCAGCGCCGTCGCCGCACGCGCCCTCGGCCCTGCGCCCCCCCGCCGTCCGAGAGGGCCCCGGCGACGACGGCCTCCGCGTCGAGCCCGACGCGCGGAGCACGGGGAGCGGACTCGGGCGCACCACTCTTCCAGCGGGAGGCCCGCCGGACGCCAGAGGAACGTTGGATGTGCACCCTGCGACATGCTTAAGATATCATGGGTTAAGAAACTCAGAGTCTCAGAATCTGAGAAAAAACCCAGAACTTCGATTGAAATCTTAGGATTCACATTGAAACATTAAGAATAATCAAGACTCTGGCCGAAAACACAAGTTTTCTTAAGCATCGCCTAGAGTGTAGCTCGAAACCTTGAGCGTGGCATACTTCAGGGAGTTCGCACGGATGCCGAAGCTGTGCGAGGCCCTGCTCCTGCGCGCCGCAGCCACAGCAGGAACACCACGGCCAGCAACGCCAGCCTCTAGCACGGGTGCGACCAAGTGGAGCCGCGCCCCCAGCTCTGCGTCGCCGCCGAGGTCGGGGTCCCCCGGCGTGGACGCGAGCACGTGGCAGCGCTCCTTCAGGCAGCGCTCCTTCAGGCAGGGCCTCCGACGACCACTCCGCCCAGAGCTGCG